TGACCCCGGCACCCCAGGCACGCTCACCTAGAGTGTCGCTGCCAAGGACGGAGGTTGCGTACCTGGGGGGGCGTGGCCGCTGCCGGAGGCCGGGCTCCAAGGAGTTAAGCGCAGCCGGGCCCAGCCCCGCCCCGCCCCTGGCAGGCCGCGAGCCGGATCCCTGGCGGCGAAGCGGAGCAGCCGCCGCCCGCCGCCTCCGCCTGCGGGGAGCCCGCCCGCCCGCCGGCTCCCGGGAGCGCGGCTGCCACCACCGCCCGGCCCAGGCCCAGGCCCTGCGCAGAGCCGAGCGGAGCGGAGCGGCGTCCACCCCGGCCCAGCTAGCTGGCGCGGCGGGGGCGGGCCCAGGATCTTGGGCTGGTCTTCCATTCTCCCGTCGGGAGCGGGAGTCCCGGCACCCCTGATCGGGCAGGCCCGCTCCCATGGCGAGCGCGGCCTGCCCGGGCCCTGGGGACCCTGCCATGTGAGCCAGGCCCGGGCTGGGGGCCCGGCCATGGCCGGGGAACGGCCCCCACTGCGGGGCCCTGGGCCCGGGCCCGGAGAGGCGCCGGGGGAGGGGCCGCCTGGGCCGGGGGCTGCAGGCGGAGGCCCGGGCCGGGGCCGCCCCTCCTCCTATCGAGCTCTCCGCAGCGCTGTGTCCAGCCTGGCTCGTGTGGACGATTTCCACTGCGCTGAGAAGATCGGGGCCGGCTTCTTCTCTGAGGTCTATAAGGTAAGACCCGCGGAGAGCACAGAGGGGCGGGACCGAGCCTTCAACAAGAGGCTGGAACTTGGGGGCTCGCCCCCAGGCTAGAGATCCCGGACTCCGGCAACCCACCCAATCTGTCCGACACTCACCGGCCCCTACTGCCCCCAGGTTCGGCACCGACAGTCAGGGCAAGTCATGGTGCTGAAGATGAACAAGCTCCCCAGTAACCGGGGCAATACACTACGGGAGGTGCAGCTGATGAACCGGCTCAGGCACCCTAACATCCTAAGGTGAGCGACTCCAGCCTCTTGCTGGGCACCTTGCTGGGCTGGAGGGAAAGGGGAAGAACCAGTGCGAAAAGTGGGAACTAAGGAGGGGCCGGGTCTCTTACAGCCTGCCCTCCTATCCTCCCCATCCTCTTCCAGGTTCATGGGGGTCTGTGTGCACCAGGGACAGCTGCACGCTCTTACAGAGGTGAGGATAGAAGAAAGGGGAACCCACCTTCACCACTACCACCATCACCAAGGGGAAAGGGATCAATGGGCCTGCTGTATCTACAGAGAATAAGGAGAGGCGTAAGACCTCCTCCCAGGGGAGGGTCCCTGAACTTCCCTGTGGATAAACCACATATAGGAAGCCTCATCTGGTCTCATTCCCTGTGTCCTCTAGAACACAGCAGTTCCATAAACTTTATGCAGTGATGAAAATGTTCTGTCTGTACTGTCCAGTACAGTAGCCACCAGCTACTGGGGGGGGGGGTGTGCTACAGCATGGGAAATGTGGCTTATGTGAATGAGGAACTGAATATTTAATTGTATTTAAATTTAATAACTCAAATAGTTTCACATGGCTAGCAACAACTGCATTGGACAGGGCAGCCCTAGAACATGAAAGGAGGCCCTTAGAGCACAGATGCACACTTCTGACTTTTGTGATCCTCCTGAATATCCCCTGGATGATAAGTGGGAGACCTAGAATGCAGGCTGAGACCTTGACACTCATTCTCCTTCCCCTATGCCCCAGTATATGAATGGGGGAACCCTAGAACAGCTGCTCAGCTCCCCCGAGCCCTTATCCTGGCCAGTCAGGCTCCGCCTAGCTCTGGACATTGCCCGAGGCCTGCGATACCTGCATGCTAAAGGTGTATTCCACCGAGACCTCACATCCAAGGTAGGCTGGCAAGGTGGGTGGAGGCATGACAATTAGGTTATAATGTATTAGGCCCCATGGATGTTGGAATGTGGATAATAGATATATTAGGATATTAGAGTGGCAAGATATTGGGGAATCCCAGGGTCCTAGGGTGAGAGGCTCTGAAGGACTAATAACTATCACACTGTTTAAAGTGTTGGACAGTATTGCAATATTGGGGTGCACTGGAGAACTGGGAGAAAGGGTGGGGTTATGCTGGAGTGACAGAGCTTTGGGATATATATATTGAGAGACCAGAGAGCAAAAGGTGATAAGTGTGTGAGGATGCCTATATGTGTGTATCAGAACTGTCTGGTCCGTCGGGAAGACCGAGGCTTCACGGCCGTGGTTGGTGATTTCGGGCTGGCTGAAAAGATTCCCGTGTATAGGTAAAGTAAATACCCTATTCCCCCAGAAGCCTCCCAGAGATCTTCTCTTGAAGTGAAGCCCCCAGGGACATTTCCCTTGGGGTGGGGAGGGTCCTCGCTTTATATCTTTTTGCCTGGGGAAAATGCCTGAGTGGATGTTTCTGACTATCCGCCCCTGCCCCTGCAGGGAAGGGGCAAGGAAGGAGCCATTGGCTGTGGTGGGTTCCCCATATTGGATGGCTCCAGAGGTGTTGAGGGGTGAGCTGTATGATGAGAAGGTAAGACATTAACTGATCAGAGCCTCAAGGGCCTTCAGAGACTCTTGAGATGCTCTCATAAGGCCCCATCCCAACCAAAATTCTACCAGATATTCAAGGTTCCCCAAATCCCCCATGCCCTCACCATCACCCTCCCCAAATCACCCTCCTCCATGAAAACTGTCAAGACTGCCTCCCCAAATCCTGACCTAGTCCTACAAAATTCTGAAGTGAAAACTGTCAGTTGTCCCCCTGACATTATTATCTCCTACCCATAGGCTGATGTCTTTGCCTTCGGGATTGTCCTCTGTGAGCTTATCGCCCGAGTACCTGCAGATCCCGACTACCTACCCCGTACAGAGGTGAACATCTCTAGGTTTGAAGCAGAGGGAGACTCCAGACTAAGATGGCCCATAATCAAGGAGGGTTCCCTGGAGGTAGAGGTCCTCATAGAGGGGCGGGAGGAGAACCCAAGGAAGGCTGACTTAGAGGCCCTGCTTGTATCCTCAGGACTTCGGCCTAGATGTGCCTGCTTTCCGAACCCTGGTGGGGGATGACTGCCCACTGCCTTTCCTGCTCCTGGCCATCCATTGTTGCAGCGTAAGAGCCTCTGTTTCCCTCCCAGCCCCTCTTCCCCCATCTATGAGCTGATATGACTGCTCTATGGGACTCCAGTGATAGGAAGAAAACTCAGGAACCCCATAACACCACCTATGTCTACCCACTAGATGGAACCCAGCACCCGGGCCCCCTTCACTGAGATCACCCAGCACCTAGAATGGATCCTTGAACAGCTGCCTGAGCCAGCTTCCCTTACCAGGACTCCCCTGACACACAATCAAGGTAAGTAAAGCCAGGTGTGGTGGTGCACACCTGTAATTCCAGCAACTCAAGAGGCTGAGGCAGGAGGATCTCAAGTTTGAGGCAACTCAGTGAGACTCTCAGCAACTTAACAAGACCCTATTTCAAAATAAAAAGTAAAAAGGGCTGGGGATGTAGCTCAATGGTAATGGGTCCGTGGATTCAATTCCTAGTACCAAAAAAAAAAGACCAATCAGGGTAAGTGAGCATGACCTTGACCCAATAAAAATCCTTTTGCCTATCAAAATTCAAGGGAGTTATTAAGGTTAAGTGGATTTAATAGTTTGAGAACTCTAGGAGTTGGTATGGGGTGGGGAGGGAGAACAACTCAAAAAAGATGGTTTTCTAATGCTAGAGCCCAAGGGAAAAGAGGTAAAAAAAAAAAAAAGGTGGGTAGGGGTGACATTTCCTCTTTCCAAGAGCACCCTGTGTGACTCCCTTTTCTAATGAAGCACTCAGAAGCTACAATCAAATGCTAAGAACGATAATCACGGACTTCTCTGTCTATAGGGTCCATTCCAAGAGGTGGTCCCTCTGCCACGCTTCCAAGACCAGACCCCCGGCTCTCCCGAAGCCGGTCAGACCTCTTCCTGCCCCCATCACCAGAATCACCCCCCAACTGGGGGGACAATCTGACACGAATCAACCCCTTCTCCCTACGGGAAGATCTCAAGGGTGGCAAGATCAAGCTCCTGGACACACCCAACAAGCCGGTCACTCCTCTGCCCCTTGTTCCACCATCACCACTGCCCTCTACCCAGCTGCCCTTGGTGACTACTCCAGAGGCCCTGGTCCAACCTGGGACACCTGCCAGACGCTGCCGCTCACTACCCTCATCCCCTGAACTCCCTCGACGAATGGAGACTGCACTGCCAGGTCCTGGCCCTCCTGCTGTGGGTCCCTCGGCTGAAGAAAAGATGGAGTGTGAGGGCAGCAGCCCTGAGCCAGAACCCCCAGGACCAGCTCCCCAGCTGCCCCTGGCGGTGGCCACAGACAACTTTATCAGTACTTGTTCCTCAGCCTCCCAGCCCTGGTCCCCTAGATCAGGACCTCCCCTCAACAACAACCCCCCAGCTGTGGTGGTGAACTCCCCACAAGGCTGGGCAGGGGAGCCCTGGAACCGGGCTCAGCATAGCTTGCCCCGGGCAGCAGCCCTGGAGAGGACAGAACCCTCGCCACCCCCTTCAGCTCCCCGGGAGCCCGAGGAGGGGCTGCCCTGTCCCGGCTGCTGCCTTGGCCCCTTCAGCTTTGGTTTCCTGTCCATGTGCCCCCGCCCCACCCCAGCTGTCGCCCGCTACCGCAATCTGAACTGTGAGGCGGGCAGTCTCCTCTGCCACCGAGGGCACCACGCCAAGCCACCCACGCCCAGCCTGCAGCTGCCTGGGGCACGCTCTTAGCAGTGGGGCCTGTGATCTCAGGCCTCCAACTTTGGCCTTCAGGACACCCTGTAAGGACAGAGCACACTTGCTGGACAATGCCAGCCCCAGATGGGCTGACTGGCTCTTCTCCCCGTAGGGGAGCCTCAGCATGGACTCTCAAGGGACAAAGCACTTCCTATCCAACCCCTGGGCTCACTCTCCCAAGGGGATCACTGAATCAGACACAGCATTGCTGATACACGAGACTAACACGTGCAAATTATTTAAAAATATTTCAATAAAAACTGCCTGGCTGGCTCCGGGCCGCCCCATCCACTCAGCCCTTGCGCCCTGCTCCCCCCACCCATTTCCAGTATGGGAGGTTCTTGAGGGGGGTCAAAGTCCCTTCTAGAGGCTTCTTTATCCTCTTCCCAGGATCAGTCCAGTTTCTGGGACAGGTTTTCGAGCAGGCTGGCTAGAAGTGTCAGGTGTGGATCAGTCCTTGATTGGCAATGCCCACACTTGGGGGATGCCTGGGGATGACAATCTTGGATGTGCAGGCCACAGGTTAGGGATCAGAGTCACAAGCTCTTGTTAGCATGAGTGTCTGGAAGGGTAAAGCATCAGTGAGCTCCACAGTGGACTGTCACCAAACCTTCATCCACCTTTTGCTATCTTTTCTCCAGCTCTCTGGACAGCCACAGCACAAGACTTTCTGTTCAACCTACCCTTACATAAGCAGACCAAGTCATCAGAGGCTGAGGATGTTGAACCCAGGAACAAGTTTCCCCTCTGTCCCATCCCTGGATTCCCATGCCTCAGCCCCATCTCTCATGCTTACCCCATTCATTGCAAAGAATGGTCCCCATCTGGAAACCTGAAAGATGACTGCTCACAGATGAAGGGAAGGGAACTTGTACATGTCTCTGACTGTATATACCACCGTGAATAATGTCCTTTTTGTATCTTGATGCATCCTGAGCTTAAGGACAAGACTTAGAATGATTAGAAGTGGGAAATGCTCTGGACCCCTTCTAATCAATCCTACCATCTCTCATCTTGCTATGCATAAAACTTAGCCTATGTCCATATCTGGGCATGGTTCAGAGGCAGATTTCTAGACTCCAGCTACAAAAGGCTTTAAGTCCAGGGCAGAAAAAAATTACCCAAATCTTAAAGATGAAAACTCCAGATAGGGAACATAAGGATGTGGCCACTCTGTTTCACAGTCCTTAAGTGTGATTCTCAAAGCTACTCCACTGCTCCCTTGTTCACTTCCTTGGGATGGCTCTTATGCCCCAGGTGGCCTGGACTGAGAAAGTATGACCCCAGTTTGGGCAGCCTTGTAAGGGATGGGGAGTCAGAATGCAGGTGTCCCTTTGGCTGTGAAGCCCTAGCTAAATTCTCAGCTTCTCCCTCTGAAAGATGACATGGATCCCAACCTAGTAATTTTTTTTTAATTATGCCAGGGACTTCTAGACACCAAAGATAGAACAGAGAATAAGACTGCTCTAAAGTTATTAATCAAATAGGGGGAATAAAAAAAAATAGGCAGTTACAGTATTGATTTATAGAAGAAATTTGGGAGCTGGAGTTGGGGAAGAAATTTTTTTACTATGTCTTTATGAGGGGATTATGGAATTCAAAATGCCAAAAAGTCCTCACCAACTTACCCATAATTATGTAAACCAGAAGTCCTCCATTGGTCCTTATTAGAGGTGGAGCTAATCCAATATGGATAGAGACCACCATGTGAAAATATAGGTTCTCCGATGAGCTGATACTATGAGATTCAGAGAAACCAGAGATGTGTAGATAGTGATGAGAAATATAGGAGAAAATCAAATCCTAGGAAAAGACCTATGAACTTTGGCAAAGGGAGATGTGTCCATCTTTGGTGCATGACAGCTCATAAGTGACTTGTTCCTGCATCCTTCAGTGCCACTCTGCAGATGCAGTCTCACTCTTTAGTTCACCTCCCAGCATGGTAAGAATTTACGCTATCCTTTGGAGGGGAGTTGCTATGTTAGGACTGTTCTGGTCCCAAGGAACCAGTTACTATGATCCAACCCACCAAATCTGGCACCTCGAAGTCAAAGAGCTGTTAAGCAGCCCATAGGGTTGACCAGGGAGATGAGACACAAAGTAGAGATTATAAGTTTCAGCTCTCATGCCAACTCTAATCAGTTAGTAGAAGCCATCTGGAACACAGGACTGAGAAGACACAGGCCATTTTCAAGTTCAGTGGCAAAGAGTGTTGTGATTATCACTATTTGCCATGGAAAAGGAATGTAAGTCATGGCATGTATGCCAGGTGTGCACTGCCATTCCTGATTCGATGACATACCTCCCTTCATCTAACAGTGCCCCTTCGTTCTGTGGGTAAGGGTATGCTTACTGAGTAATCATGTCTCACTGAATGTGGCCAGGTTGGAGGATAGAGATTTACAATAGTTTTGGCTCTTCGTCCAAGTCTGACGAATAGATGAGAAGTAAAAGCAGCGATTCTCCTTCAGTATCCATCCCACTGGACAGCAATGGCCTAGAAAGCAGAGAGACTGCAACATCACAACCCCTAGGACCTAGGATGAACGTGACTACTCACAATCTGGTTGCTAACAACATTCCCCTAAGTCTAATCTTGGCAACTTAATGGACTTCTAGTCCTTGATCTTTGCAATCTTCCTTTCTTTTTCCTCTTCTGGAAATGCCTTACCTCTGCATATACATTTCGTTTGTTTCATTGTTTAAGGTCTTAACATTAATAACATTTCCTCTTACACCTACCCTCCTCTCTCTCCTCCTTCATTTTTGGTAAGTGGGGATTGAACCCAGGGGTGCTTAACCACTGAGTCCCAGTCTTTTTATTTTTTTTATTTTGAAACAGGGTTTCCCTAAGTTACTTAGGTCCTCTCTAAATTGCTAAGGCTGACCTCAAACTTATAATCCTCCTGCCTCAGCCTCTTGAGTCTCTGGATTGCAGGTGTGTGCTAGCCACCATGTTAGCTAACAACATTTCTTCTTAACAATCTGGGAGGTTTATTTTAGTTGGACTGGTTATTATCCCCAATTTCTGAAAGACTACGGTCTACACCAACAGTTTGATTATCCTCACCTAGGCCCCTGTATTTGGTCAACAAGCCTCTCATTTGTTCCTTCATCCCATTTGCTCCCTAAAGCATTCTCTGCTGTCCATCGAAACTTCATCACACTCTTCCAGCCACTAGCTGCCTCCCCTCCCTACTCTTCCATAAGGAGACAATTTTGGTTCCCATTTTGCTCAGTTTCTGTTTTGTAAATACTCTCCACTTCCCTCCTTCTCACCTCAAAATTTCTGTCTCTGTTCTTCTTTACCTGATTATGCATAAGAAATAGACATCCCTCTTTAACATCCTATGTTCCAATCTGTGCTCCTGAGCACAACCCAACTCTCTCCAGTGATTTGATTCATCAGTCCTAACTCCATCACTTAAAAGTCAGCTGGGTATGGGGACTGGGGCTGTGGCTCAGCGGTAGAGTTCTTGCCTAGCATGTGTGAGGCACTGGGTTCGATCTTCAGCACCACATATAAACAAATGAATAAAAAAAAAATTCCATCAACATCTTTAAAAAAATTAAACAAAAAAATCAGCTAGGGGGCTGGGGTTGTGGCTCAGTGGCAGAGGACTCTCGTAGCACGTGCGAGGCCCTGGATTCGATCCTCAGCACCACATAAAAATAAATAAAATAAACATATTGTGTCCAACTAAAAGCTAAATATTTTTTTTTAAAAAATCATCTAGGTATGGTGGTGTACACCTGTAATCCTAGTTACTAGGGAGTTGGAGAAAGGAGGATCTCAAGTTTGAGGCCAGCCTCAGCAACTCAGCAAGACCCTCAGCAACTTAGCAAGACCCTGTCTCAAAATTTAAAAATTTTTTATAAAAAGGGCTGAGATTCAATCCTCAGCACAGGGGTTGGAGAAGTGGGTAGGCTAAAATGCAAAATAGAGCTGAGGGCCTGATGATACACACCACCAATGCCAGCTACTCTGGAGATTAAAGAAGGAGGATAGCAAGTTGGAAGCCAACCTAGGCAACTGTCTCAAAATAAAATTAAAAAAAAATGTCTGGGGATGTAGCTCAGTGTTTACCTAGCATTTGCAAGGCCATGTGTTCCATGTCCAGTACTACAAAAAAAAAAATTTTTTAAAAAGTGAGTTTTGCTTTTATGGTACAGGAGATCAAGCCCAGGCCTTCACACATACTGAGTAAATGCTCTACCACTAAGCTACATCCCCAACCTGAAAGTGAGTTTTTACCAGTCTAGTGTAAGAGATAGACAATGGAACAAAGGGATGAGTTATTGAATGATGGAATCCAGAACATGAGATGAGTAGGGAGATAAATGAGGATAGGAAACAGCTGATGGGAAGAAAGGAAACAGGAGTCCCCAGAGTGGAGGAGGCCTCAGTGGGGTGAAAGAAGTAAAAGCCTGAGCAGTTGTGATCAGAGTGGAAGTCTGCAACCGATGTTACAGTAGAGCAGTATGGGTTGCAGCTATAGGAATGGGTGGCAGCACTGTCAAGGGACTGTGGGCCGTAGTAGATAAGAAGGTTAAAAAAATAAGGGCTGGGATGGGTGACTACATGTAATCTTGCTGCTTTAAACCTAGAGAAAACATTTAGATGCTCCCTGAGCAAAATAGACCCCAACCCCCACCATAGTCCATGAAAACTCCAGTCCCCTCAGGTCTGGCACCTTGCCTAGAACCTTTCTGCTTCTGCACAGCCTTTCCTTTATTAGGTGTCCCTTTACCCACCTCTACATAATGGCTGGGCTCCTGCTTTGAAAGAGGATGGATACGCCATCCTGGTCCCCTAAACCACATGATGGTTGCCACATGTGCCTGAGAACTTTAACTATCTTGCCCCACCTCCCGACTGCACCTAATGTTAGTCAGTAGTTCTTAACTTTTAGGGGGATCTCAGATGTATTGAAAATTAATTAAAGCTGCCACCAAGTGTTTAGAAAACTGTACAAACAACTAATCCCACATACAAATTCAAGGTATTCCTAGATCCTGCTGTCGATGTCAACCAGATGAAAACAAATTTTTCCATGCTTCTTTAAACAGTGTGATTTGGACTGCTGGCTGCTACCCACCCCTCACCAGGATCTGCCTTAGAGTTAGCCTTAGAGCCCTAAATCCAGTATGCTGCTTGATCTTTCTCCCCATTGGCCAAGGTTACATAGCTCAGGCAGCCACTCTTCTGCTTCATTGCCCCTTTCCTGAACAATCCACTGATCCCTGGGAGCTAGATAGAGCCCTGACACAGTGTTTCCTTGCTTCAATCCATCCTTCACAGACCACCTCTGCCACCTCTCTTCTCCCAGAGCAGTTACCTTGTTGGGAGCATGTAAAGAAGGGTTTCAGTGTGTCCTGCATGTTGTGTAGCCTCTCCTGCAAGGCCCTCCTCTGATCCTCCTCCCTTTGCAAAGTCTCCTGGGTCTTCTCCTTGTCCAACTGGCAGTCCTTTAGCTTCCCCTCAGCAGCCTGGCGATTTTCCTGCGCCACCTGTAGCACTTCCTGACTCTGGGCCAGCTTTCTCTTGGACTCTTGCAGATTCTCTTCCTTCTGCCCCAGCTGAGTTATCCTTAGGTGAAGCTGCTCCTGAAGGCTGCTATTAGTGTCTTCCAGAACACTGCTCACCTGCTGGAGTTTCTGAGATACCTGCAGATCTGGTTAGCCATAAAGAGAGATTTGGAGGGCATCTTCTCCAGCCAGACCCTGATGTCTTGAGACTACAGCATCATTTTTATGAAACTTTTTACATAACAGGCTAAAATATAAGACCTGACTGCCTAAAGCTTAAAGAGATACTGGATTAGGTAAGGACTGACGGGGAAGACAGGGCACTGAAAATAGACCCAGCAGGAAACCAGACCAAAAGCTGAGGATGTAGTGGTAGTGACTATGAACTCTTCTGTGAAGGGCACTATGGGGGAGAGGAGAGAAGTAGTTTGAGGTGAGTGGGAAATGGGGCAGCCATACTCACAGCGGGCTCCCAGGCAGATGGCAGCCACCCCTAACAGCAGGCAGGTGAGGAGCAAGCTGAACAGGAGGTATCGCAAGCAAGCTGGACTACCTTAAAGGACAGGGATGAAGGGCAGTCAGTCCCAGGAAACAATTTACAGAGTGAGGGTGTGGGCAGCAGCAGAGATTCCAGAGGAGGACATTCTTAAGAGGAGGGCAAAGGAGCAGTATGGTGGGGTTTTTCGGATGGTGGGAGGTTTTGCAGGTAGAGGAGAGAGGGAGTTCTAGAATGTGGGTTGGGGATTTGTAATTGGTAAAGTGAGTTGAGGCGCATTGCCTGTTAAAGGGGAACTAAATCTCAGAAGAAAGAGGGAAAGGGGATGACAGGATTTGTATATTGGGACCAAATGAATGGTGGGTAGTGATCTGGATGGACCCGTCTTGGAATAATCCCTACCGGGATGTGGCTTAGTGGGCAGGCAGCGGGGTCGCGGTGCTGAGCGAGCTGTCTCAAGGCTGCACCCTGGGCTCATCCCCACAAAGAACAGAACAGGATGGGGATCAGCGCTCAAGCCCCTGCTCCCGGGCCTCAGTCCCACCCATTGGTACGTCAGGGGTCAGGGTCGCCACCCTCCAAAGCATGCAGGAGGGGAGAACGCCTGGGGCTGGAAGGGGACAATACCCACAGGGGAGAAGCCTTCCAACAGGCGGCGACGTCACGGAGCTCCAGGTCGCAGTTAGCTGCTCTGACTTAAACCCTGCGGAAAAGCAACGTCCAGTGTGAAAGCCCCAGATCACGCCCCTTCTCCGCAGCTCGCCCCACACCGGGACTCCGAGCTGCCCTGAGATACCCTCTGTCACTGCTCCGGGACACCCGCATCACTCCCGGAGTACCTCTGCTTCCCCCGGGACTCTCTCAGCTACCTCCGTGTCTCCGTTCATCCCCACCCTCCCCTCCACTCCCTCCCAGTCTCCCTTTATCCCTTTATCGTAACTTCAGGGGCCCTTATCTGCCTGCCCGCATTGCTCTCTTCCCTCTCCCTCCTCGGCTCCCCATTTCCCCCCCAGAACCCATCTCCCACAGGGCCGTCCTGAGTCTTCCTCCAGCACTTATCAGCCACCCTCTCCCCCTCCTCCCCCACACACTTGTCCCACTGGGATCTCCACCTTGCCCCTGAGACTTTTCTTCCCCTAGTTCCCATTTATCCTACTCTCTTCTAAGAACCACCCTCCTCATTTCTCCAAGGCCTTGTCCTCCCAAGATTTCTGTGGACTCCCCAGCTCAAGAGAACCCGGTAAACCCATCCCCAGGGCTCTCCATACCTGATTTGTCCCCTAGTCCAGAGGAGGCCAAGCCGGAGGGCCCCCCTGGGACTGAGGGCACTTGGACATTTTCATAGGTGAGTTCCCCATCCTCATAGGCCTCTGGGTCTGGGGAGAAAAAGAACCAAAGTGGAAGTCAGGTGTGGTCTGTGGGATGAGGGTGGGTTGTGAAAGGGGATAGACAGGATGGAGGAGTCCCATGTTCCCCCCTTACCCTCTCCTAACTGGCTGGAGACAATCTTTTTCAGAGGTGCCTTCACGAACCGCAGGTCTGCATAGGTAATAGCGTCAGCCATGGTCCTGAGCACCTCTGCAGGCTGGAGTCTCCCCTCTCATCCACAGGACCCAAGCCTCCCTGGCCACTCTCCTCTCTCCACACTCTTAGATTCTGTGATCTCTGTGATTGCACTTCTTAGCTCTTTGCCCTCCCACTTAACAAAAGAGGAAGATGTGAATGAGCCTCTGACAGATGGGCTCAATGAAGCAGAAGTCATCTTGGGTCAGAGCCAAAAGGGCAGGAGGGAAACATTCAGGTCCAGAGCACAGGCCAGGGGCTAGGCCTGGCCCTGGGTCAGCCCTGTGTCCCCCCCACTCTTCATATATCCTACTGGGGCTCCACACTGCTGGGCTCCAGTTATCTTCTCTGATTTGCCCTCTCCTCCTGACTGCCCTCTACTGGGGCTTGTTGATGTGTGGTTGGAGCTCTTTTGTGCCCAACTGACACCAGGCAATCTTTCCAATCATTGTTCTAGAAGGAGGTTTCATCTTCCCCATCAGATTGTGTCTCGTAGCATGGAGCCTTAGCACTTTGTTATTCTGAGGTTTCCAGTAGGTCTATGAGTGAGTCCCTGATTTGGTGACTCAAATGAGTGTCACATCCCCATCAACTTGGGGGCTTTCAGGCTGTACCCATCTTCTCTCTTGTGTAACCCTCAGAACTGCCACACAGAGCCATAGCTGGGACACCTCTGGGGAAATCTGTGGTAGCACTGATCTTCATTCACCCTGTGAGGGCCAGGAAACCAATGAGTCTGGAGTTTCACAAAGATCAAGCTACAGCTTCCTAGACCCACAAATAAGGCAAAGAAATTTCTTCTAACTTTTTTTGTAAAGTTTTTATTATTTATTTATTTTTGGTACTGGGGATTTGAACCCAAGGGCACTTTACAACTGTGCTACATCCCCAGCCTTTTTTATTTTTTATTTTGAAAAGGGGTCTCACTAAGTTACTCAGGACCTCGATAAGTTGCCCAGGCTGGCCTTGAACTTGTGATCCTCCTGCCTTAGCCTCCAGAGTTGCTGGGATTACAGGCATGTGCCACCATGCCCAGTAAAATTCTTCTTTTAAAAGGTCTCAGGGAAGTAGGGGAGGGGGGATAGTAGAGGATAGAAAAGGCAGCAGAACACATCAGACACTAGTATGGCAATATGTAAAACAGTGGATGTGTAACTGATGTGATTCTGCAATCTGTATACAGGGTAAAAATGGGAGTTCATAACCCACTTGAATCAAATGTATGAAATATGATATGTCAAGAACTATGTAATGTTTTGAACAACCAATAATAAAAATTAAAAAAAAAAAAACAGAAAAAAAAAGGTCTCAAGGAAGTGATGGCACATGCCTATAAGCAGGAGGATCACAAGTTCAAGGCCAGCCTGGGCAACTTATGGAGTCCTTGACTCAAAAGATAAAAGGGCTGGTGATATGACTCAGTGGTAAAACATCCTGGTTTAAATCCATAATATTAAAAAAATTCAAAAGAGATAACTCAGTGGTAGCATGCCCAGGTTCAATCCCCAGTGTTGCAATTAATTAATTAATTAATTAATTAAAATGAAAGGTATTGAGGGCTGGGGTTGTAGCTCAGTGATAGGGCAGAATGTGACACTCTGCGTCAAAACCCCAACATTAAAAAAAAATAACCTCCCAACTTTGTCCCTTTATACCCATCCCCAAGGAAAAGGGGCATTTGTGTATAGGAGAGACCCCCAGAAATTGGGATGCTCTCCAAGGTGGTGAGGACCTGGCTGATGGAGCAGAGAGGGAAACCAGGGGAGCAGAGAAGGAGTTGCTGAGCAGCAGTGCTCAAGGGTGCTCCCTAATGTTCTTTTACCAGGATTTGACTCTGACGGGAATGCCAAAAGGGCCTGCCTCAGGGGGTGGGAAACAGCTGAGACCAGATACCATATGGAGTAGGGAAAAACCCAGTCCCTTTCAGAGCACATCCGCCCCCTCAGAAACCCCTCCTGCAGCTGTGGGGAGGAAAAGGAAGGTCCTCACCACATGCTAATAGCTCATATGACTGGTGGTGTGTGTCAGGCTCTGTGATGGGCTGCAGACCACACGGTGCACAGCAGCACTGTCCAGCCTGCCCCAGAGAGGGTGGCCACTGAGGCAGAATGGCACACCTGGCACCTGAGGATGTGTCTGAGGAGAGGTGGATGTATGTGTGTGCGTGTATGTACTTGTGTATGCACACACATCCCCAGCACTTTGTGATCTGTTAGGGGTGTCATGGGAGGTGAGTGTCTATGTCGCAGCCCACTCAGAGGATAAATGGATCCTGTGGCCCAAGGGGTGCCTGTGAAAGCTGTTACCTTTTGCCACCACAGGGAAAGATGGGCCATTTTCAGAAAAATCATTATGGGTCATGGCAACAGATTCTACAAGTATTTCCTTTTTGAGGTTCACTGTTTCCTAAGGTGTCCCTGCAGCTGTTAACGGTCCTTGCTTGATTAAAGTTTCCAACAGCCCAGTCCCCTCCCCTGGGCACCCTGGCATGGCCTCCCCCAGATACAGACAGTGGCGTGTGCTGGTGACTCCCTGGGGGCCTCCAGGGGCCTGTGATAGTGGGAAGCTACAGAGCAGCTGGTGCCAGGGTGGGTGGGGACAGTCAGGGCACTGCCTCTATGGGGTACAGGGGTGATGATAGGCAGCATGTGAGTAAATTCTATTTATAGGAATTCCATAAACTGTAGAAAATGTCCTAGTTTTCAGAACCACTGCACAGGTGAACATGACCTGGATGCCAGGTAAAATGACAAAGTCAATCTTCCAGTATTCACTCAAAAAAGAGAATGGGCATGCAGTCTAACATGACCCTTGAAGAGGCTTAAAAAGGGGTTACCCAAGTGGAGCTGGGCTGGGCTAAGCTGTCCATCCACATCTCCAGATCTTCATCAGACTTGGTCTGTACATCTCTCCTCCGAAGCTGTTTTGGTGACAGTTACATATTTCAAGACATTCTGCATTCCATTCCTTCTTATAGTACTTTGTGGTCCTTTTGAGTGAATAGGGTAAAAGAAGGGAATTCTTGCCCTTCTCTAGGTATGTCACATAGGCCTTTGCAATACTCACATTCACATTACCTTTCTAGGCTGGACATCAGACATGATGCCTGTGACTTGGAGGTGCACCCCTACTGTCCAAGTTTCAGTAACAGTGTTTTTTTTTTAATTCTGTTTTCAGTTGTAGATGAACACAATACGTTTATTTTGTTTAATTATTTTTACGTGGTGCTGAGGATCAAACCTAGTGCCTCACACATGCTAGGCAAGTGCTCTACCACTGAGCCAAAACCCCAGCCCCGACAGTGAGTTGTTTTTTTTTTTTTTTTTAAGAGCCGAGGGGTCAGTGTTGTGTGTTTCAACCTTTCCAGGACCATAATGTCATCATCTGAGATCTGAGAGGACCAACACCAAAGTCTACTTCTTGCTGTCTCTTGGTTGTTCCACTGCTTATTGTGGGAAACAGGTTGTGAAGGTCTATAAGGGGAGGGGGCCCAACTGTGAGGGCATGGGGTGGGATGGCATGGGGAAGGGCTCCTCTCTGTCAACTTTGATAAAGTCTAGTCAACATCAGAAAGTCAGGTTATACTTCATCTTTACTGTAACTCACTGGCTTCTAGAAAACCCGAGTCAGGTGACAGGGTAGACAGAATAATGACCTCCCTAAAACATTCACACTCTAAACCTTGGAACTAGAAAATACATTACTTTACCTGATAAAATGTAGATGTGACTTATGTGAAGGTCTGTTAAATGGGAGGTCATCCTGTTTAATTCTAGCAGGCCCAGTCTAATCACATAGGTTCTTTTTTTAAAAAAAAATTATTTTTAGATGTTGATGGATCTTTATTTTATTCATTTATTTATATGTGGTGCTGAGAATTGAACCCAGTGCCTCACACATGCTAGGCAAGCACTCTACCACAACCCCCACCCTCACATAGGTTCTTAAAAGGGAGAACCTTTAAATGAGAAATTATACCCCAATGATTCAAAAGTATGAATCGCCAAGATCATTGTAATGTCGTGTGTAGCTATTAAAAAATAAATAAATTAAAAAAAAAAAAAGGGAGAACCTTTCCCAGCCATGGGAAGAGAGATTCAAGGAGGGAAGATTCAAGGATCACAGAGGTACAACATGAAGACTCAAGCCACAGTTGCTGGCTTTGAAAGTGGAGAAAAGGGATCATTAGCCAAGGAGTCCAGGCAACCTCTAGAAGATGGAAAAGCAAATAAACAGAAAGGAACCCAGCCCTGCTGTCACCTTAATTTTAGTTGTAGACCTGCATCAGACTTCTAACCTGTAAGATAATAAATTTTTAATGGTTTAAGCCATGAAGTTTGTAGTGCCAAAATTGAACAAACATGATTCTATGGTTGAAATGGCCAGTCCTACCACAGGTGTGGCCATTTCCCGTCTCTAAAATGCAAGATGTCCAGACCTCAATCAAGAATATGACTGCAGCTGGGTGCGATGGTGCATGCCTGTAGTCTCAGCAATTCAGGAGGATCAAGAGTTCAAAGCCAGCTTCAGCAAAGACAAGGTGTTCAACAACTCAGTGAGACCCTGTCTCTAAATAAAATACAAAATAGGGCTGGAGATGCAGCTCAGAGGTTGAGTTCCCCTGAGTTCAATCCTTGATCCCCCACCCCCAGCCTCAAAAAAAAAAAGGGGGGGGTATGATTGCTAGAGACAGGAGATGTAACCTTGAGCAAAGTCCTCTTTTAAAACATCAGCCACAATAGCTGCAGAGTCAGGAAGGAGAACTACAGGCCATCTGATAGTACCATCAAGGGGACTTGTGATTCTTTGATCCCTGAAACTTAAGAGCACTGGGAGGGCTCTGGTGACTTGCCCCAGGCCTCTCCTTAGTCCTGTCTTGAATAGTGACACAGATAATAATCTTATATGCTGATGGCACAGAGCTGAGAAGAAAAGCAAATACCTTGCTTCAAAAGGCAAACTCAAGATTCAAGCATTGCCACAGGCAAAACGATGGCTCCTATCTGCAGAATGAAGTGTCATAAAGGAAAGGACAATATGGGGCACAGTGGTGCACTCCTGTGATCCCAGCGACTGGGAAGGCTGAGGCAGGAAGGTGTCAAGTTTAAGACCAACCTCAACAACTTAGTGAGA